ATATATATATATATATATATATATATGTTTCCCTAACCCAGTGGTTCTCAACATTAGTATGCACACAAATGCCCTGGAATGTAGGTCTAAAACTCAGGATCCTAACTACTTCCACGTACTTTTATTCCATTTGAGATCTGGAGTTTAAAAAAAAAAAAAAATATTCAGAGCTAGAAAATACACTTTCTCAACCTGTGTCCTTTCAGTCTTAGAAAAATTTTCCCTACTGCTATCTTTAGTTTGTTAGGCTATCAGTTTGGTACACAGAATAAGTGGAAAATGATTGCTTAGGGCATAAAAATTACTTGAGTAGCCCAGGAAACAGAAAGGAATACAAGTAATTAAAAAATACCAGTGGTCCCAAATTTAAGATCAAACTCTTCCTAATTTAAGACTCTTCCCCACATTGCCTTTATTGGGATAGAAAGCTCAAGGCCATTGTTTTTTGTTTGCTTCCTCTGCCCACCTAAGCAGATTCTGATGCTGATAAAATGTCCAGGAGAAAAGAGGAAAGCAATGCACATCTCTAAAACTGCACAGTCACTAAATATTTGGAAATTATTAAATTGCTGTGCTTCATAGTTATTATAGATGTTTCAGATTAAACATGGTAATTTATTTATATACTATTCTCTAAGGAAGGGAGAATCCATGAATTTGTTACCTAAAGCCAAGATATAAAACATTAATAAATCCATTGCTACAAAACCTGAAGCATAAGTAAAGTAAATCCAATAGAGCAATAGTTTTCAGTTATAATAAAACAGTCAAATTGAGAGAATTCAAAGTACAAAGTAAACTAAAATAGTAGCATGATTGCTCTCCATGTGCCCTATTTTCACACTGTGATGTTTCCACTTTAAATTGTTTCTCAAAGTCTGCCCTCAGTTGAAATTCTCCTGCTATTTTAAGTCAGGAACTGTTTCTTATTCTCGCTCATAGTTTTACAGCACCAGGTGCAGTGTATATAAATTGGATTTACAGACTAAAAGGAATTCTAAAGTGCTTCCTGAAAAGGAATGAGGTGATATGAGAATTAAAAGGATCACTGGTTATTTTCACATTTAGCAAACCAATTAATAGAAGATGCTGTTTGTTTTGGAAGGCTATGAACTTAATTTGAAATAGCTGGATAAGCCATTTGCAAATGGATGCCTTATTATCCAGAGCAAAAAAAAGCATCGAAGCTCTTTATTGACAAAACTAAGATATGGAGGAAGGGTTTAGAAGTAACTAATACTGATTTCCTTACTTCAGCACTAGTCACATCAAAGGACCTCAATCTCAACAGTCCCTTCTATTTCCCAGGTCAAGTCTTTGACTCTCAGATTACAAAGAAACAGCACCAATTATAACTTATTTTTCTCTTTCATTTTTTTTTCTTACCAAATACATGTTGGGACTCTAATTTTTTTTCTATGTGTATGAGTGTATTGCCTGCATGTATGTGAGTGTACCTGTGTCGTACAATGCCACAGAGGTCAGAAGAGGGCTTCAGATTTCCCTGGAACTGGAGTTAAGGACGGTTCGTAGCCACCATGTGGGTGCTGGGAATTGAACCCGGGTCCTCTGTAAGAGCAGTCAGTGCTCTTAACCACTGAGCCATCTCTCCAGCCCCAGGACTCTAATTTTTGAGAGCTCTAATTGAGAACATTTTTTTTTCTTTTTTTTTTGCTGTCTTTGTTTTTTGAGACAGGGTCTCACTATGTAGCCCAAGCTACCTGGAATTCTCTGTGGCATAAGCTGGCCTTGAACTTGTGGCAATCCTCCTGTCTCAGCCTCCTGAGTGCTAGGATTATGGGCATGAGTCACCATGCCCAGCTTTATTTACTGACTTATTTACTATGTTATTTTTGTGCATGTGTGTGCACATTTGTTTCTGGGTGTATGTGTATGTGTGTGTAAGTATGTGTGTAGGCCAAAGGACAACCTTTAGTGTCTTTCCTCAGGCTCTGTCCATGTTGTTTTTTTGAGACAGGGTCTCTCACTGGCCTACAGTGTGCCAAGTTGACTAGGCTGGTGGACCAGCAAACCTCAGGGATCCTCCTTCCCAGAGCTGGGATTATAAATGTGCACCACCACACCCGGCATTTTTATGTGGGTTCTGGAAATTTAATTCAAGTTCCCGTGCTTGCAAGGCAAACACATTGCTGAATGGATTATTTCCCACCTTTTTTTTTTTCTTTCTTTTTTAAAAAATATTTTATTATTTTAATTTAAGTGTATGACTGCACTGCCTGCAAGTATGTAAGTGTACCCATGTCCCCATGTCGTGCAATACCCACGGAGGTCAGAAGAGGGTGTCATATCCTCTAGAACTGGAGCTATGGACAGTTGTTAGCCACCATGTGGGTTCTGGGAATTGAACACAGGTCCTCTGCAAGAGCCATTACAGCTGAGAGACAATTACTCAGATGTGTAGATTTTTAGATTAGTGATTTCTCACCAAGAGAAATTTCTACAACTACTAATGATTCAAAAGAAAAAAATCTGGATAACAAAGTTGATCAGATACAAAGTAACTTTTGAAAATTTAAAGTTAAAAATCAATCAGTCAAACGTGATTTAAAGAATATAAAGGATATATATGAATATGAGTAATACTGATTATTTCAGCACAGATTAAAAGATTCCATCCTATGGTGCTGAAGGTAACAGACTCTGGATGGAATTAAAAGATTCCATCCTAAACCGGGCATGGTGGCACACACCTTTAATCCCAGCACTTGGGAGGCAGAGGCAGGAGGAGCTTTATGAGTTAGAGGCCAGCCTGTTCTACATAGTGAGTTCCAGGACAGCTGGGGCTACAGGGAGACCCTGTCTCAAAAAGACAAAAAAAAAAAAAAAAAAAAAAAAAAAAAAAAAAAGATTCCATCCTATGGTGCTGAAGATAACAGACTCTGGAGCCAAATAACCTAGATAGAAATACTGGCTGGCCCCATTATTACTATTAGCTTTGTTAACCTGGGCAACTAACATCTCTGCTCAGTGTCCTTATTCTGTAAAAGTCTGTAAAATGGGAACAATAACATCGCTCACCTCCAAGGATCATGATAAGGCTGAAAGTGTGCAAAGCACTTAGAATAACGTGTGGCATGACATAGCACTCTATAGGTGCTTTAATATGTATTTAATAATATTTAATTAAAACAGGACTGATGCTCTGACTACAAGAATCAAACATGATGAATTGGGGATAGTAAGAAGTTATTTTGTTCCCAAACATCTGTCCTTCCTGACCACTGAGATTTTATTAATCTGGGGACTAGAAAGGAGAGAGATGTAAAGAGAGCTCAGCTGTCAACTAAAAAACAAAAACAAAAACAAAAAACTGGGGTCAAAGTCCTTAACTCTTATAAAAAAGAGCTAATGTCTCCATTTCTTTCCCCCAACAGGTCAGGAGAAAAGGCAGGAAAGGGCATATATTATTTAGAAAACCCAGTAACTAGGAATATGAGAGCAAGAGGACAATTGACTGCTTGTGGAAACTGGAGAAATGTCTCAAAGTATTATACAAAGAACCTCAAATACAGTTGTGGATATTCATGTAGTTTATACAATTGTAAAGTTTCGGATCTTGATTTTGGATGAGTCTTTACTTTTGACAAAAGACTCCATATAAAACACCTGTGCCTACTTGTTACTCTAAGTTCATTAATGCCTGAGCAGTACCAAGACCAAACTCAGGCTGAACCACTGGGTCAAGACTCAGGCCAACAGTAGGCATGTCACTCAAGGTGTCCACCATTCACACGCATGAGGCTGCTTCATTAAATAGTGAAAACCATTACCCTAGTGTCTTCTAACTCCCTCTGGAGTTTGTCAGCTTTGGTCTTTTCAAAGAGCAGGCTCTGTTCAAGTTCCTTAATGCGGGCATGCTCCAGTTTGGTCTGCGTCTGTTAGTAAAAAGGAAGAGGAAAAGAACACAACAGTGCCACCATGACATGCCAGCACAAGAGGAGAGAAAGCGGCATGCAGGCCGAGCCACCAGTACCTTCTGCCAAAGGATAAACGAAAAGGGTGAGAGAGAAAGGAAGAGGATGGAACTGCAAGGAGGGAGTGAGGATGGACACTATGAACAAAAGAGTAAAGGTGGGCAGAGGGCATGAACTAGTCTGTTGAGAAAGAAAAAAATGGAAACACATGAGGCAAGATGAAGTTTCAGATGCATGCAGCCAAAAACATGTTATCTTGATAAGTGAAGTTTATCAGCACAAATTAGCGTAGTTAATATTTCTCTATCATCTTCCCTCTGCCTCACAATGGCTACTTGACTTTAATATGTATGTAACTGACTCAAGGACTTCAAAGAGTTGACTGACCCTCAGCTCATCACCTTCACCTATATACAGAGAAAGACAATGCCACAATCCTTGAGTGTTCAATAAGTCCTTAGAGTAGACCCTTGAGCTTGGCATACAATTTGCCATTAACTACAGGGCGTGGTGGTACACGCCTTTAATCCCAGTAGAGGCAGAGGCAGGCAGATCTCTGAGTTCAAGGCCAGCCTGGTCTACATAGTGAGTTCCAGGACAGCTGGGGCTACAGGGAGACCCAGTCTCAAAAAGACCAAAAACAAAAAACAAAAAAAATTTGCCATTAACAAAGGCAGAGAATTCACCTTAACAAAGGGACATGGTGGTTTAGGCCTATAATCCCAGCACTTGGGAGGCAGAGGCAGGAGGATTACTGTGAGTTTGAGGCTATCCTTGTCTACATAATGAGTTCCCAGCCTACCTGGCCTACCCTATCTCAAAAAAATACATAAATAAATAAATAAAAACCCTACATAAACAACAAATAAGTAAATAAATAAGAAGATTTGAAAAACAGAGGCTGAAGAAGCCATGGTGGCAGCCTTTGTGGAAGTGGGTGATAAGCTTCTGGTTGAAGTTCTCTCAGGTAGAATACAGAATAGGAAAAGAGCCCCAGAAGCTCTAATTTCTTCCCAACAGGAATTTATCAAAGGTTTAACTGTCTGTGGAGGAGAAGACCAGGATTTAGGATTTCAAAGAAAATGTTCAGTATTGATTACCTACCACAACCTCCATTTCTGAAAAGGTCAAATGAGGGGTTTAGAGCAAGAGAAAAGCCTAGCTTCAACTGTAGGGGATTTATTTTCACCCCAAAATGAAGTGGATTTTACCATCTCAGAAGATAGGAAAGGGTGAAAATACAAAGGCAGGAGTTTAAACTCATGATGAAAAAGCTGCTAAGATCCTAGTGTGATGGGGACCCTCCAAAACCTCACCCATGTCTGATTCCCTTACCACATACTCCAGTTACCCAGGAGGTACAACGAACAGACTTAAATGTGGCAGAATCTTGTTATATTTGAAAAAATCAAGGTATTAATCCAAAGGTATACTCTTTGCCCAGTCATCTCTCCTAACCAAGAGGTCACTGGAACATTTGACTGACAATACCAGGATTACTTTAAGATATTTTACTGGCCTAGTCTATCAGTCTGAACAATTATGGGCAATGAGAAAATTATGCAACAGAGATTTTAGCAAAGTGACACTAAGTAGTAAAGAGCCTGAGTAGAAAGTCAAAGCTATGAACATCTTCACTGATACTCTGGTGACCTCAGTGCAATCAAGGAGTCACTCTGCTTATAAACCAGGCATAAATAAATCATCATGGCATATTTAAAAGGTGATCAGAAAACACTTTTAACATTCTTCACCTAGATTCTCTATATTCCATGAAATAACAAAATAAAATTCAAAACCTGACGGGTGTAGTGGTATGTGCCTTTAATCCCAGCACTCGGGAGGCAGAGGCGGGCAGATCTCCGTGAGTTCAAGGCTAGCCTGGTCTATACAGTGAGTCCTGGGACAGCTGGGGATACAGGAAGACCCTGTCTCAAAAAGACAATAAATAAATAAATAAATAAATAAATAAATAAATAAAATAAAATAAAATTTAAAACCTATTTGTCTGGATAGTCCCCTTGATCCACATGTGTCTCAGAGAGAAGCTATTCAATATTTCTACTACTTTTATAAGAAAATAACCTAGCCAGGCATGGTAGTGCATGCCTTTAGTTCCAGCACTGGGGAGACAGAGGCAGGAGAATCTCTATGAGAGCAAGGCTAGCCTGGTTTACATAGTAAGTACCAGGTCAGCTGTGGCTACAGAGAAACCCTGTCTCAAAAAAAGAAAAAGAACCTAATCCAGATCTACATAATTGGGGTTACAGCTTCAGGAACCCAGACTCTAAAGGAAGCAGTAAAAGACAACAGATCCTTTCTTCTTTTGACCCTCAGTTAGACATTGTGACCTGGGCAAAAGGTCACGATGTGCAGATAAATAAAACAAAATATCCAGCCTGGCATGGTGATGCAAGCCTACAGTCCCAGCACCTGGGGAAACAGACGATCAAGAGGTAAAGGCCAGGCTGTAGAGAAAGCTCAAGCCAGCCTAGGTTACATCACCAGATCCTAATTTAAAAAAAAAAAAAAAAAAAAAAAGCAGGCTCATTGGTTATGCTTATAATCCCAGCAGTGGGCAGCCTGAGGCAGAAGTATCACCACAGGTTTAAGACAAGCCTAGGCTACAGAGCAAGAGCCTGTCTCTAAAAAAGGAAATATTCATTTACTACTATTCTCCCATTCAGACATTTTAGGGGGAAGCACACAAAGCATCTGAGGCTCCACAGTGGACTTTCACCAGGCCAGCAAGGGAACCAGTGATCCACCTCCATGCCACAGCCCAGGCTAAAAGTATGACAACTGAACAGGATAACTCTTTAAAATTATTGCTTTCTTAGAATAAGACATGGTATCCCAAGAGGAAAGTCCTAAGACAGAGGTGTGAAAGGAAAGCAAAGGCCTTGCAAGAAGCGCACAGAGAGGCAGGAGAGAGGTCCCATGCACACTGATGCTGGAGACATTGGAACCTGTTCTGGACGGAGAAGAGAGACCCAGATCACTGAAGTAGCTTCACAAAGAGGAGCCATTCATCAAAGGTCCAATTAAGTTCTAATTCAGCTCAGGAAGTGGTCAAAAGTAAAGTAGTTCTTTATTTTAATTTCATTCTTTGGTGCCAGTAACCAAAGCAAAAAGTTTTCAGGTTCATTTCAGTTGGCATCATGGTGGCAATGTGTGCCAAGAAGCCAGGCTTTCAGGCCACTTTGGTAAAGTCTGCACTGGGTATTTGATCTCATTCAGAAAGAGGAAGGAAAAATGGCATGCCTGGTAGCACTGCTACTACAAGAAGCTCCCTCAATAACAACAGATTTAATGTTCAAGAATACTGGCCCCTACTTTTCAAGAGAGAAATAACTGTAGTGCCAAATGCAAGCCTGAATTTCTTGTCAGTTGCACTGCTCAGCAATGAGAGGACACATAAAAGCAGTGGGGCTGGGTAGATCACACTTGGGCAGCACCTCCCAGCATCTTCACACACTCTGTGTTTTATGCTTCCACCAACTGCCATCCCTTTCGGAATAATTCTACTAAACTTAGAAGAAATTATGAATTAGGTGAAGAAGGTCATGCCCACAGACATTTTCTCCCTTTTGGCAAAAATTCTTTAAAAAGCAAATTTTTACCTATCATTAACCAAATAAATTTACAGAGCTTAATCATTACATATAATTTCATCAAGAAACAAATGCAACTGCTCTGAAGGCCACATGCACAGAAATATTAAGGGCAATGTCCCAAAGTCAGATTATGCAGTTAGTACTTTAGAGTATCAATAAGCATTTTAATCTGGAATCAATCTGTGTTAAGGGAAATATCCACACAGTTAAGTGCCCTCTTACATTCTCAGGAGCTTCAGGAATCTGGCTCTTTTGCTATCAGTTAAAAAAAAAAAAGTAAAAAAAAACCAACAACAAAAGAGATTCAACTAAAGTTTCAATATGTATTAGGGTTTCAATATAACTTTATTTGATTAATTTCAAATAAAGCAAGTATCAGACAGACTATACTAGCCAACTGCTGATGTAAATATTTTAACTCAACCTTCCCAAACACCAGAGGCTATAATTCATATGAATTAGATGATGATATGAAACTTCTAATGAGACTTTGGGGTATTTTTAAATGGATGACAACACAAAAGTACAAAAGTCAACTAAAAGATGTGACCATATATGAAATGAGTGAAGAAAATGTCTATTCAGTTATTAATAAGCAAGTCATTAAATTCTGGACCTTATAAAATTAGAACTCAGAAAATGTTCTCTTTACGCTTTACTGACTGTAACTATATAGCTACCTTTCCAAATTAATCAGAGTTCTCATTTGGAAGGATTCCTGAAATTTAAGCCAACAGAATCCAAAATTAGTACAATGGCAAAAATATATCTTTTGCTGGGCTTGGTGGTACACACCTAAAATCTTATCACTTGGGAGGAAGAGGCAGGATTGCCACAAATTTGAGGCCAGCCTGATTTACAAATTTACATAGTGAGTTCTAGACCAGCCAGATGAGACCCTGTCTCCACCTAAATAAATAAATAAATAAATAAATAAACAAACAAACAAACAAATAACTGCAAGTAGCACAGACAAGTGCAATTTTTATTAAAATGTTATGAAAGATATTGTAGAATCTTTAACACTTTTTTAAAGTTAATGATTTGTATTTGTCATGTATTTGGCAGTGGCTTGAAAGGCACTAAAACCACTTAACCCTGGCACCCAATTTAAAACTAATATGAATAACTATTAAGAAGATAAGCAACCTGACATTTAATGAAAATCTATGAATTTGAATTATGCCACAGAAGTGGCACAAATTGCTCCTGGTTTTTGTTCTGGTTACTACATTTTTTAAAAAGCAACTATATAATCCCTAGCACCAAAAGAATAAAATAAACTATGAGATATAAATTACTTTTTTTTTTGGTATTTTTGAAACAGCGTCTCCCTGTAGCACCTGGTCTGGAACTCACCATGTAGACCAGGCTGGCCTCGAACTCAAAGATTTGACTGCTTCTGCCTCCCAAGTGCTGGGATTAAAGGTGTGCACCACCACGCCAGGCCCAAATTTATTTTTATAAGATTTATTTTTATTTTAGGTATATGTGTGTCTGTACACGAGCATGCACCAGAAGAGAGTGATAAGGGATGGAGTTACAGACAGTTTGAGTGGCCCAATATGGGTCCTAGGAACCAAACACAGGTCCTCTGGAAGAGCAAGTACTCTTAACTGCTGAGCCATCTCCCCAGCACACAATTTACTTCTTTTATAGGGTTATAAAAGATTTATCCTGCTCCACTGAAAAACAAAGTCAAGATACAGCAAAAATGCCTTGTTATGGACTATTATAACATTTAAAATGCTCTTTTAAAATGCTATTTCTATTATCAGGGGAACAAGTAAAATTTCACTTAGGGCTGCCTTGAGGATACACTGCCAGATTTATGACTTGATTAAATCCAATTCTTAGCTTTCAATTTTGAAGCATGAGAAAAGCTGTAAGCATTTTCTTCCGCCACAGGAATTGGGACAGCACAGTCAGAGGCTCAAGGAGTATACCATCAGCTCAGCCACTAAACTTCGGCTGGACCCAAGTGGGCCAGAGGGTGGTACAGCATGCCTGCCACTCTCTTCACTGATTGCTCTGACCACAAGAATCAGCTGGCCCAGTATGTCACCCATATTGCTCAATGCTGGTAACCATAAAAGCTTTAGGGGGCTGAAGGGGTTTACCTCAAGATCACCTTTGGTAATTGATTCTTCTTCAACTCGGAACTGAAGGTCCTCAACCTTCCTGTGGAATAAAACCAAAACAAAGCACTGAAGAAAGTAAGGAACTCCTTACCTACCTCAGCCACACACTGTAATAATCAACACCCTGGTGAACTCAACAGACAATGATGAAAAGAAAGACTTCAGAGACAGAAAATGAGGACATGCATACTTGGGACTCCAGTGTAGAAAAGCTGAGTTGTAATCATACAGGAAATGCCACAGTTTTATCTAAGTACTCTAGAAGGCATGGGGTAAGAATTGGAAAAAAAAAAAAAATCAACTGTTTTCCTTGGTCACATACAGCAGAAAGTATATTTAAATATAGAAGTCAGTCTAAAAGGAAAATACTTGATTACCAAAGAAACAGATTTCATATTCCAGTATTTAATATCTACTCTCAGTCACAGAACCTAAGAGAAAGTGGCACAGGAAACAAATCTTTTTAAGCCAGCTATTTTAGGGAGCAGTTAGCAGGCTTCTCACGCAGAGACTCCAGTCTCCATGCCTCTGAGACAATTCCAAGACCTACTCTAAGAACAGGAGAATGGGATTTCGGATAATCTGAGGGAAAAACAATAAAAAAGCCTATTCTTTGGTTCTAAAATACATGCTTTCACACACTTGAGAATCTCTGAGGTTGCTTGTGATTTTGATCAATGGTATCACAATGGCAATGAAGTATAATGACATTCAGAAGATTTACAAAAGTCAAGTAATAGCTACATGAGTGTGTTCTTGTTTTATTGTTGGCACTGGGAACTGAACCCAATCCTGATGCAAGCAAAACACATGTTCACCACTGAGCTATACTCCGACTGCCTACATTATGAATCTTTAGAAGGTTGGTTATAAGGGAAGAAGGAAGTGTGTATTTGGGGGGGTGACCAAGTTTATAACCTATATGCAGAATACAAATTCCTTCAAACTTACTAGCAAAACTGAAAAAAAAAAAAAAATTCTGCTGTGCCTAGTGGCACACACCTGTAATCCCAGCACTCAGGAGGCACTGAGACAAGAGGACAACCTAGGCTAAATAGACAGTGCCTCAAAAAAAAAAAAAATAATAATCCTGCTCAGTTAAATGACAATTTTATCTAATTTTCATCATTGTACAAAACTCTCAAGAATGCTGCACGGTGGTACATGTCTTTAATTTCAGCACTCAGGAGGCAGAGGCACGTAACCTAGTCTACATAGTGAGTTCCAGGCCAGCCAGGGCTACGGGGAGACCCTGTCTCAAAAAAAGAAGAAAAAGAAAAAAAAAAAAAAAACCCACATGGGGGCTGAGAGATAGCACAGCGGTTAAGAACACTGACTGTTCAGAAGACCTGGGTTCGAATATCAGCACCCACATGGCAGCTAACAACTGTCCGTAACTCCAGTTCCAGGGGATCTGACAGTCTCTTCTGTCCTCCATGGGTATTGCATGACACAGGTGCACTTACCTACATGCAGGCAATACATGTATACACATAAAAAAAGAAAAAAGAATAAAATTATAAAAAAAAAACAAAAAACAAAAAGAATCCAGGTCAAAATCCAAAAAGAGGAATGCATTTGCCAGGTGTGGTGATGGATGCCTTTAATCCCAGTGTTCAGGAGTCAGAGGCTGGTGGATCTCTGAGAGTTGAAGGCCAGCCTGGTCTACATAGTGAGTTCCAGGCCAGCTGGGGCTACAGGGAGACCCTGTCTCAAAAAAGACCAGCAAATGGCATTGATGTAGTAGCATTCAGAAGGACATTTTTCAGGAGAGGGGTACACTTACTATGTAGCTAGCCCAGGCTGGTCCTGAACTCCTGATCCTCCACCTCAGCCTCTTGAGTGCTATAATACAGGCATATACCAAGCTATGCAATTTTGTTAAGTGTATTTCAGATATAAGAACATCCTACTCCTAGTGCTTCTCTATCCAATGAACTACAGGCCTGATTGTTAAGACCTATAATTCTGGATAATTAGGAAACTGAGTAAGGAGGATCATGAGTTCAAGACCTGCCTGGACTACAGGAGTTCATTGCCAGCCTAGATAACTTTGTGAGACTGTCTCAAAATAGAAAAAAAAAGAGAAGTCTGGGGATACAGGTCAGTGATAGACTGCTTTCCTAGCACGTATAAGGTTAGATCTAGGTTCAATCCTTAAAAAGAGAGGGAGGGAAGAAAGGAGGGAAGGGAATAAAGAAAGGAAGGGATAGGGAGGGAGAGAAGACGAGAGGAAGGGAAGGACGGGAGGAAAGGGAGGGAGGGAAGGAAATCTTATGTAAGAGCCAAACTTCTCTGTGTCTGTCTTATACCATTTAGCATTTGATTTCATATTGACCTGAATGATTTTCCAATTGTTTCACATGTGAGAGTTTTGCTTCCCACATAAAGCTCTGAGTTTTTCCAGAACAAGGATCTCAAATCACCAGACATAATTTCATAAATGCTAGAAAGCATTTATGAATTTCCTCAAAATACTAACTAGGTAACGTCTAAAGAATTCCAAACTTCCTGGAGAAGCCACATCAAAGCACACACTCTTCACATAGCAGTAAGAGTTCAGTTTCTGTTGCTCACAGTCATTCCTTTGGCTCTAAAGAACAAAGTTGCAGGGTAGCATACTGTACTCAGGAGGCAGAGGCAGGAAGATCTTGGTGAGATCAAGGCCACCTGATCAACATAGCGAGTTCCAAGCCAGCTCAAAACCAACCAAACCAAAGATAGGAAATTTCTTCCTAAGAAATCATTTAAAAGGTAAAAAAACAGTCAAGGATCACCTTTTCTCCTCTTCTAGTTGGTTGAGGAGCTCCACCTTTTCCCTATCAGCAGCTTCCACCATTGTTCGAAGCTGGTCCATCTTGGCCTCCAGTTCCAGGACATGCTAGGGAAGCAAGGATGTCAGTGAGTAGCTGATTTCTGACCAGAAACAGGCCCAGGACACCTCCAACAGGTATTCTAAGTGTGACCATGGTGGGTGGGCATCACTCTCATCACATTCAAATACTTTCTATCTTAGGTTATTCCTGGCAATTTTCCTGGAAACTAGATGACCAAAAACCAGAACATAAAGCCACAGAGCAAGAGTAAAATAATTCTCATCTTTTCTGATACTGAAACACATATCAATCTACAAATAGCAGCTATAATCTCACTGCTAAGATCCTAGTAAATGAGTGTTAGCACAGACAGATCCAAAGCCTGGACATAAAGACCAAAGGGCTAAGGAAAATTGAGAAGAACAAAACTTTATCTTTGATGATGAAAACTGGCACCCAGATCACAGCTTTCCAATGAGCTCAACAAAGAAACTGACACTCATTTCCAGTGTTCAAATCCAACTCCCTGGTTCGAAAGACCAGGCATGCTTTTCAGCCTCATCACTCAATTTAGAAACCACCATCATCTTCACAAGATCAGCACCAGACTTCACCTGGTCATGCCCATCTCGGGCCAGGGCTAGCTCCTGCTCTATCTCCCCAACGTGGCTGGTGGCCTTGGCCACCTCGGCCCGCTCCAGGTCCCGCTCAGCCAGCAGCTGCTCAATGTGCTGCTGCTTCTCCTTCAGCGCCTCCTGGAGGGCAGTGGTGCCCGAGATCTTGCGGGCGTAGCGGGAAGAGGTTTCAGTCAACTGCAAAGGAAAGTCAGAGAAGTGAAGGACAATGGTGCTGTCAGGGAGGCAAACAGGAAGCAAAGCCATGCATGGTGGGCATCTCAGCAAAGCAAGAATGCTGCCCCAGCTTCTGGGTTTGCAAAATATTGGGCAAGGTTCTCACCAGGAAAACAAGGCCTCACAAAAACTCACTAAAAAAAATCACATCAGCCGGGCGTGGTGGCGCACACCTTTAATCCCAGCACTCAGGAGGCAGAGGCAGGCAGATCTCTGTGAGTTCAAGGACAGCCTGGTCTACATAGCGAGTTCCAGGACAGCTGGGGCTACAGGGAGACCCTGTCCCAAAAAGTCCAAAAAACACATCAATAAACCAAGCTCACAGCAAAATTCAGATGTTTAGAAGGTGTCTGCGCAGTTCAAACAGTTATTCTAAGTTCAGCTGGTACAGTGTTAAAGGAAATCTAGAAAAATTTCACAAAACCCATTTTAGAAGTGTTTCTAAAGCCAGATATAATGGCTCACACCTTTAATCCCAGCACTCTGGGCTTGAGGGGGAGCTGAGGCTAATAAGTTCAAGGCCAGCCTGGGCTACATAGTGAATTCCAGGCCATTCTGGGCTACAGTGAGACCTTGTCTCAAAACAAAACAAAACACCCAAGGTTTCTACACTAGTGCAGCTTGAGCTGTGGCTATCTTCTTATGATGGCATTTGACCAATCTTTGGATCCTTAGTTTTGAGGTTGAGAATTTTTAAAGCTTAAGCTTCCAAATACCATGAAGAAAGAAGACATCACTGTTGGAATCACATCTTCCTTCAACTGGTGAAAGAGACTTTTCTCATCTTTCTTTGCAAAGTAAAAGCACGAGAGAGCTCATGTTAGAATCTAACCTCTAGGATCTGAACCCCAATCACTTTAGATTTATAAGATTAAGAAAAGAACTTGGGGGCTGGAGAGATGGCACAGCGGTTAAGAGCACTGACTGCTCTTGCAGAGGACCCCGGTCGATTCCCAGCACCCACATGGCGGCTACGAACCATCCCTAACGCCAGTTCCAGAGGAATCCGAAGCCCTCTTCTGACCTCCTCGGCATTGCATGACACGGGTGCACTCACACACATGCAGGCAATACACTCATACACATAAAATAAAAATAATAAACAAAGTATTTTTAAAAAAAGAAAAGAACTTGGCCTTTGAAAATGTGAGTGGTTGAGGGTTATATCTGGCATATACAACCACAGACACAGACACAACACACAGATGCGGACACACAGAGACACACACAAATACACATTAAAGGAAGGAAAAGGAAACGAGAAAAGGGAAAAAAGAGAGAAAGAAGAAATTTGTGGAGAATAAGAAATAAAGTGTAAGCAGGAAGAGAACAAGATAGCAGTGAGACAGAAAAGAAGAAAGAAGGAAAGGAGGAGGTGGCAGAGCCAGGGGCTAGAGGACCTTTAGTATGTTTAATTCTGTTGTTTCACATACCTAACCCCTCTATCTTGAAGCTGTCACATAAAACCCTGAGAAAATAACTTGCTATTAATTGTCAACAGGTAATTTGGCACAGTAAATCATAATTCCTTGCTTCAGGCTCCTAGAGGCTCTGCAGACTGGGAGAATGTTTGTAAATGGTCCCTCCTTGGCAAGTATTTTTCCAAGGCTTTGACTTAACGGTTGCTGGCTCCAGCTCAATCCATCTTTTGCTTCATTTTCTGCAAACAAAGCTTCATTTGTCACCTGAGTGCTGTCCGTCAGTCTATCAAGCCCACAATGACAGTAAGGATTTCATTAATTAATAATTTATCAATTTGACGGTTTTGAGAGCAGAAGAATGCAATCAAACCCACATTGTATCTTCCTGCTCGTTTTATGGAATTTCTTGAATTAATTAAACATTGGGAACAAAATCCTCCTTTTCTCTCACCTTAACATTAAACTAACTTTCTACCTTTTTCTTAAGATAGTTTTTACTTTATGTGTATGAGTGTTTGCCTGCAAGTATGTATGTGTACCATACGTGTGCCTCAGGCTCACAGAAGCCAGAAGACAGCATTAGATCACCTGGAACTGGAGTTATAGGCAGTTGTGAAGCCCCCATGTGGGTGCTGGGAACTTAACCTAGGTCCTCTGCAAGAACAAGAAGTGCTCTTAACTGCTGAGCCATCATCTCTCTAGCCCCTAAAGATTTTATTTTTAATTTTATGCCTGTGTATGGGTATGTGCACATGAGTGCCAGTGCCCACAGAGGCCAGAGGTGTCAGAGACCCCTGGAGCTGGAGTTATAGGTGGTTATGAGCTGCCCAACTGGGTACTGGGTATTGAACTTCGGTCCTCTGTAAGAGCAGCACACACTACTAACCACTGAGCCATCTTTTCAGCCCTTTTCCACCTTTACTGCATGGTCAAATTATACTTTCTCTTACTAACATCTCTTCTTGAGTAGATTAAATATGAGGTCACTAAAACATGTGCAGAAATGCCTCAGGGATCCCTGAAAACTCACAGGGACACTGAAGGATTTCTTTTTTTTAATATCGAAAGAGAATCTAGAGACATGGCTCAGTGGTAAAGAGAACTAGCTGCTTTTGCAGAGGACCAAAGTTCAATTCCCAGCACCCACATGGTGACTCACAATCATCCATAACTCCAGTGCGAGGGGATCTGAAGCCCTCTTCTGACCTACTCAGGCATTGCACAACACAGGTATACATGCAGGCAATACACTCATACACATAAAATAAAAATAATAAATAAAATATTTAAGAATAAAATATCAGGTTCGGTGATTAAGAGCACTGGCTACTCTTGCAGAGGACCTGGGTTCAATTCCCAGCACCCACATGGTGGCTCACAATCATCCATAACTCCAGTGCCAGGGGATCTGCTACCCATGTGTGACCTCCACAGGCACTACACAACATGGGTACACTTACTTACATACATGCAGGCAATACACTCATACACATAAAAATATCTTTAAAAGAATTTTAAAAATACCAAAAGAATCAAATGTGATGGTTCATGCCTTTAATCCTAGTACTCTGTGGACTGCTATAAGACTGATGCAAGCCTGGTCTAGAACTTGAGTTCCAGGCCCACGAGGGCTAGAGAGAGAGACCCTGTCTCAAAAAAGGAAAGAAAGAAAGAAAGAAAGAAAGAAAGAAAGAAAGAAAGAAAGAAAGAAAGAAACAGAGACACCTGTTACACAAAATGCAGATGACTAGATCAAAGCAATTCGTCCAGGTTCAACATTAGAAAATACTTCACTCCTTTCAACAGCACCATGTCTGTGCAAAACTGAGTTTTGGTGTTTGCCAAGACAAAAAAAAAAAAAAGTACTATGCACAAATCAATTCATAGACAATGAAGGTAGCAGTGATAAATATAATTCCAAGGTTTGATAAGATGAGCAGTACCCAATGGAAGCACACTCTCTACTGGTAGTCACTACAGTTATTGAAGAACAGAGTTAAAATACTGACTTTTCTTGGGGGCTAAAGATGACTCAGCAATTAAGAGTGCTTGCTGCAAAATCATGAGGACCAATCTCAGCACTCCTAAAGCAAGCTAGGCATCCTGCAAATGCCAGTAACTCCAGCTTCAAGGGATCTGACACACACCCATACACAGAAATGCATATATACTCACACAAACACACAAATCATTGAAAATTTTCAATTTCTAAGACAAAAAGTAGACTTCTGGGGCTGGAGAGATGGCTCAGCAGTTAAGAACACTGGTTGTTCTTGCAGAAGACCCGGGTTCGAATCCCAGCACCCACATGGCAGCTAACAACTGTCTGTAACTCCAGTCCCAGG